ACAAGTCCTCTGAACCCAAAGTCTGTCTTTGCTGAAAAGGCAGCTGAGGAGTGTGTGTGTATGTGTGTGTGGGGGTCCCGCTTAGCTGAGCACCCTTGGGCAGAGAAGTTCCAGGGGCAAGGAGGGGTGTCACAAAGAAGCGTCTCTTTCTGGCATTTCCGGCAAACTGTGCCTGGGAAGGAAGGGGTCAGAGGAAAACCTGGCCCCCCCAAGTGCAAGATAAGTCTTTCGGATAGCCCAGTCCCGTGTAAGGCTTCCGAGGTCTGAACAAGCATTTTGAATCTTGCTGGGAAGCAGACCAGTCGCTGGTTGTACTAAGCAGGATCTTCCACCTTTCCACTGACCCGTCTCTCAAAAGTTTGCTTGCCACGTTCTGCTCCAGTAGAAGTTTCAAAACACTCTTCAAAGTCCAGCCTGTAAATATTCCAAAAACCGCCATGCAGGATCAGTCCTTTGTTCTCCTTTGGTGTGCCTTGCCTAGTCCTGCTGAAAAGGGTTTTTTTTTTGCCATGCAGCCCCTCCCTACACCAGAGTTGACCTACTTTCTGAAGGAGAGGATCCTAGTGTAAGGAAGGGAGACAGCTTGGGTTTCTTCCCTGGGGCACAATATTTTGCCGGTGCAGAAAAGCAACTCCTGCCTCATGTGTCTTTGATGGCTCTTCACCTGCGTGCTTCTGAGCGGAGTGGGTCCGTTCATTCCAGTGCAAGTCGGAAAGGACTGGGTTCTCCACTCACAAGCATGCATGTATGAATAGGGCCAACACACTGTTAAATCTTGGGAATAGGTAAATCTGTTCTCAAGTACCTGCCATGTCAGCATTCATTATTTTGTACAATCAGGTTGAGATTATTCTGCAATAAGCATCATCTCTCCTCCGACACCCTCCAAGAAGTACGAAGCAGAACAAGATGTCCTGAGCTGTGCAGAGAAGCTGTTATTTGCCCTTCAGCTGCTCTCCAGACATAGTTTCTGTTTTGACGAGCTCCCAATGACAATCTATGTATGCGTCTGGTACACTGAAAGTGGCAGAGGAGGCTCCTCTTCTGAAGAGTCTTCCTAGGACCAGGTGCCACAAACACCAAGGAGAACATCATGAACTCCAAGAAGAGGCTGGGATCTTTGGGCCAAGCAGAGTCCCCGTAGCTCTGATGCAGAGTGACCGATTAGTCAAAAAACATCCTGCCAAAATAAAATAAAATAAAGGCCATGCCCTGGTGAAGCTGCATGCTATTATCCATGACAGAACAGGTCCAGATCCTTTCTCTGCCTCCTGCTTAGGGCAACAGTGTTAGTCTGCTGCAGCAAAAACAACAGACCATCTTTATGTCAGCTGAAAGACAAATTTTTATGGGGCATACGTTTTCATGAAACAGGCTGCAGCCCACAAAAGGTTAAGTGTCAGATAAAATGTGTTTCACTGTGTGACACAAGGGCCTGCATTGTTTTAATTACAGTTTGGAACATTGAGGGCTGTCCCCTTGCATTCAAGGGTATATGGATGTTTTCCCTCTACAGGTTCATCTCTTCCTTCTTGTTTTACAAACTGGAAAACGAGGAGGGCAAAGGGGGTGCCCATTTTACTCCAGGCTGCCACCTCCAGGGATGGTCTTGCAAAATCCGACTCAGAACTTCCACTCTTCAGGTTTAGGCCTGAGAGCTTGTATGTAAAAAACTAAACACAGGTTGCAAAACGATGGCCTTTTGCTTCCCAGACATTTCAGCTGCAGTTAGAAATGTAAAGATCTGGAAAAGGGTTGGAAGAGGGGAGAGAACAGAACAAAAAAAAATCTTGAAATAAAGCAGCTCCCCTCCCCCCATGCCCACACTCGATTGTTTTCAATTTTTTTCAGTGGAACCATTGTAGAAGGTAGATCAACACTCAAGAAAAGACTTATGGGTGGAAAGAGCGAAATGCTTTTTAATAGGTTTTACTCACCCAAAATGTTACACAAATTCATACTGCAAAACTGTGCAGTATGAACATTTGCACACAACGCTGTCTGCTGAATTAGACAATAATTCCACTAGATGTCTTTTTGCACCTGGTAGGAATCAACTTGATGGCATGTATGATTATTAGATGCTACCATTGGCAGGAGAGTTTTATGAAACCCAGGGTATCAGTCTTTGCAGCGCTAACTTTTTTTAATATGGCATAGTCAGGTGTTGGATAAAGCAAACTATTTTTCAGATTTTATAAATATGCCACATCGCGTAATGCTTGATGTGAATGAAGTTTTGAACGAAACCTTTTATATTGCTAAAGCAGGAGAACATTGGATTAGATCTGATCTGGAAGCAAGTGTTGCAGAAACATCACTTCTTCCCCAGATTTCCCTTTCATCCAGTGGGGAGAAAAACCTACTGTGATTTCTTTTTTCTGCTGGCTTTACTCTAGCCACAAGTTCTTTCACAAGCTGTCCATGTTCTGGGAAACAGAAGATGAATTGTTAAGAGAAGCTACCTGAACAATTTTGCTTGAAGCTACAGGTAGAAGAACCCTCCGAAGAATAAAAGTAGACAATCCTAGGAACAAATGTTGTGCTTTTCTGAATTTCTTGTCTCAGCTTTTTCCCAGCATATTTCAATATTTTCTCAATTCCTTCAAGACTTCATTAGGTACCACGAACATTCTTTTTCAATATCTGTCAACAATGAGAATATGACCTGAGCCGGCAAAAAAATATTGCTGTTCTCAGTAAGGCAGACCCGGGATCTGTCACTTGTTACTTATGGGTCTTCTGGGCTTTTCACCGAGGCTGATGTTCTATGCATTTTCCTCCTGATTTATTTGCCGAGTACAGCCACCAACGCCAGCGATTAATCTATATTAGTAGGTTTAGCTTGTGGGACGTCTGGGTGCTCACAATGCCTGATCAAATTGTTGTAACCTAGAAGGGGTGGAATATCAATGGAGAAGTGGCAATAGCCGGCTAGAGAAGGGACAGGGGACAGAAAGCCGAGTCTGCAGCCACACTAGCCAACTGACTGAGATGAGAGGATGGTTTCAGTTCTAAAGAACCCTGAGGAACTGACTCCTCATTTTCCTTTTGCCTCAGGATTGACTGAGGGCCAAATTAGATGTTATAGACAGCCCCATCAGAGAAGATGGCATTACAGTAGTATTTCAGAGATGTGATTCACGGCAACCTTTGTGAGGGAGCAGTTACAGCTGCAAATGAAGCCTGTATTATCGGTCACTGACCAATCAGAAAAAAAAGCAAGCTAATTTGCAAACTACAGGGGTAAAAAGATCCTAAGGTCACAATCAGATGATCTCAGCACTAAAGTAATTCCCTCTATAAATCACGAGGTAGCTGTAGTGTATAGCCAGGCTGAAGTGAAACCTGGCATCCTATGGAGAAGCCTTCCCCTCCCCACAACTTTGAGGATGATGGCAGTGCTTGCCCAATACACTTGGAGTATTGGGGGAAGTACCGTTGGCGAGTGCACTGAAAATTGATGTACCACGATCTTTCAAGCATCGCAGGGTGTTTTGGGGATAGCGCCCTGTGCGGAAGCAAGAAAGAGAAGGTGAAGATGAAGAAGACTCCATAGCATGCACAGGTTGATAGTCACACCCTCTCCTCTTCACAACAGTCCCGTGGGAAGGAAATCTGTGAAACTGAGAGGTAATAATCCAAGCAAACTGATCCAAGGACGTAGCATCATAGAATTTGAAATGACTTCAGAATCTTCTGGTCTAGTCACGTATCACTGTAGGGACACCATGGTTGAAGTATTGGTAGTAGCTGGTCATTCATCCTCCACATGAAAACCTCAAATGAATCTGTTCCACTGTCAAACAGCTCACATTGTCCAGAAGACTCCCTAGTCCCCTCCCACTGGACACTATGTACATTACACCTAAAGAAACACCTGGTGCTCCAGAGGGAGCTGAACGCCAGCTGCCCTCATACTTGGCAAATGGCAATGCTGATGACAGTTAGAGGAGTCCCACAACATTTGGATTCCCTTCTCCTGCACTATGCCATGTTGAAAGTCAGGCAAGAAGTGGAATGACACAAGTTGGCAATTTTGTGAGTAGAAAGTAGTAAACTGCTTTCTTTCTAGAGGAGCATTCCTTCAAAGTTGCCACGCCCTGAGCAATCACATCTGGAAATGAGGTCTGTGTTTACCTCCCACTGGCCAATCACAAAACAAGAAATGAACTTGCAATTTGTGAAGCAGAGAAAACTATCTTAGTAGGAGAAGCAAATGTGTTTTACTTCTTAAGGGGAACTGACATCTAATGGTGTATAACTGCATTTTTGTTTGTTTTGACCCTAGGTTGCACAGCTTCTAATTTAGTACTGATATGACCATGAGGATACTCTGTGTGTATCTCTCTCTCTCTCTGTCTAGCTAGGAAGAAATTCAAACTGACAGCTTGCAAACTGTATGTGGGTGGATATTGATCTATCCGCTTCATTTCTGTCTCATGGCCACTCAAGGCAATAATCAACATATGAAAACAGTTTAGAACCAAAGCAACAATAACAACCCAATAAACCACTGAAGCATTGTCGTTGCATTCATTTCTGATAACTTGGGGAATCACAAACCTAAATAAATTACTCTGTGTGTAAATATTGGTTGCAATAACTCAGAGTATCTCTAGCTATCTTGTATGAAATATTTAAATATATTTGCTGTCATGCATTTATGATCATAAGCAGGCACTTAATGAGTTACCTCCTCAGAACAATGCAAAAGCACATACATAAAGAACTTTTAAAAGTACAGTAGCAAAACCGTATCCTCATTTGATTAGTTACTATTATCTTAGATAGTCAGGTAGATACGACGTAATGGAGCAAACGTAGGCATAAATGAATTGCAAATAAATTGCAAATGCAAGCGTTAAAAACAGAAAGCTTTTCCAGGATATTTCAAGCATGGCCTTCTGTCTCTCTTCAGAAAAACGAGAGCACCAACACGAAAGGCTTTTGACATCCTACTCTAAACCTCATTCGTCTGCACAGCTGTGCCATGTTTATTATACTGCTGACGTTTCTTGTTATCACTCCAGAATGTGTCTATGTGTGGAAGGTAGTATGGGGCAAAACAGAGAGTGAGTGGCATAGAACTGAACTTTCAAAGAGAATAATTCATGGGAACGTGTCACTCTTGGGGAGTTGCTTGATCATCGCCGATTTACAAAGGGAATCATTTATGAAATGATGGCTGCATGCATGGTTGCTTACCATGTAATTTAGAGATGCCTAGCATGGCAGTAACTGTAAATACTTGTGCTATATTTACAGAAGGAGCCTGGCGAGGGAGAAATATTTGCTAACTGTTGATAGTTCCCCTGGTCCTTTTGAAAATGGATTTAGGATGATCCTGGGTTTTGTGCATGAAACATGGACTGGTGAAACTTCTTGGCTCTTAATCATTATGTTACTGAAACAGCGGCAGTTCAAGATCACGCAGAGCCCTTCAAGTGAGAGCAAAGTGTGGAGTTGACTATTGTTGTCCTCTTCTTGTAGAAGACAGTGTCATCGAACCAGGGACTGCCACCAGAAATGTTGCAGTGCAGACACGCTCAGGAGTTCAGCTTTGGACCGCGAGCGCTGAAGGATGCTCTGATATCAACCAACCCTGCCCTGCAGGAACTTTACTCCAAGGCCTTCTCCAGCGCTGAAAAGCTCTTCCTTTCAGAGGCCTACAACCCTCATAGGACGCTTTTCTGCAGCTTGTTCATCAGGACAGCCTTTGACTGGCTCCTCAGCCATCCTGACGCCCCCGAAGATTTTGAAACCTTCTACTATTCCCTGTTGAGGAGAAAGCAACGATTCTGCCGCAAGCACATATACCTGCAGCCCATAGGTAACTTAAGAGTCTTTGGCACTGTCTAAATCATGGTGGGCAGATGGTGCTTCTGCTGGCAGGCCTCTCTGGGTGCTTTGTAGCAGATCAGCAAAGGGTTCCCTCTGCCCACTGTCTGACAAAGCAAAACTAAACTTTTGTCTCCTTCCTGAATTACTTGCTAATGAAGAGTGCTTGAGGGGTAAAAGAACAAATTTTTCTGGGTTTGTAGAGAAGTCATTTTAATTATTAATGAAACAATTCTTGATATCTTCTAGTTCAGTAGTGTCAGCGTTGACTGTCAGCCGCTCTCCAGGAATTCAGATGGATTCTTTTTGAGTCCTATCCATGGTATTCCTGGGTCCATCCAAGTACTAAACAAGGCTCGATCTTACATAGCTTCTAATATCAGATAAGATCACAGGTGTTCAGGGTGGCATGGGCTACGTTCCAGCTTATCAAAGTGATGCATTTCCTGGGAAGTCCCATATTGCTTACAATGTGCATAGATCAGGTTTTTTTTTGTAAAAATGATAACATTGAAGGGCTGTGCTCTGGGATTTCTCCTTCTCTTTGTTTCTTGCATGTGGAACATGGCTCTTCCCCTTCATACTTGGGAAGGCCATGTGAAAACTACATAGCCTGAAAGTAACAACTTGATGCTTCTGTTTGTAGATCTAAGCGAAGGTTCTGTTGGGGTCTCTCTGCTGGATTCCTTGCGGAGCTGTGTCGAGTCCTTCTTCTTGGGCCTACGGGTCAAGTGCCTTCCTTCCATCCCAGTCTCCTCCATCCATTGCTGTTACCGCCACAACCAAGATTCAGACAGAGTGCAACTTCATACTGGTAAGGTGACAAACAAGTAGAGACTTTGGTCAGGCCCTCAGATTACCCTCCCCTTCAGTTCCATTTGGCTATGTATTATTAATTTTGCCCACCTGGTAGGGAGGAAGGGAGTGAAGCAGGAAACATCCTGTTTCCCTGGAAAACACATTTTATGCCCAACGCCTAATGATCTGATAGACAATTGTTATCAGGTTTTCCTCCTGGGCATTATTTTCAGATATAGCCTTCCTTTATGTCATCAGGGAAAAAGTTGCTCACCCAGAGGAGGAAACAGCCAGGGTCTACGCATGATGGAACCTTGATTAGACCAACACTTGATAGTTTAGTGATAGGCACATCCTGACTTTTCCCTTGAACTGAAGAAATGTGACCATGGCTAACAACGAGTAGCGCAGTGGTTAAAATGCTGTACTGCAGCTAAAACTGTGCTCACGACCTGGGGTTCAAATCCCAGGTAGCCGGCTCAAGGTTGACTCAGCCTTCCATCCTTCCGAGGTCGGTAAAATGAGTACCCAGCTTGCTGGGGGGGCAATGTGTAGCCTGTATAATTAAATTGTAAACCGCCCGGAGAGTGCTTGTAGCGCTATGGGGCGGTATATAAGTCCAATAAATAAATAATAAATAAATAAATAAGCTGCAACTAGAGTTCTTCCCCCTCTGCTTCCACAGATGGGATCCTGAACTTTCTGAAGAACAACAAGCCAATGGACGCCCTCTGCGTCTTGGGCCTCACCCTTGCTGACCTCTACCCATGCGAAACATGGAGCTTCACCTTCGGGAAGTTCTTGCCAGGCCAAGGTTTGCTTTATAATCTTCTTCAAAAAAGGAGTGGGCAGTAATCCCCCCTCCCCTTGATATGCCCATGCTGTATCTACCTAACAGGAATGGAACTCCCAGGGCAGATGGTGGCACCTTGCATGAATCAGTCAGAGTTATCAGTTGCCCCAGATATTTTAAAGCTTGGGAAAGTTCCCTCTTTGGATCAGAACTGGCTAGACTGAATCCCATGGCAGAGTGGTTAAACTGTAGTCAAGCTTCTGCCTGTAACCCTAACCCTAACCCTAACCCTAACCCCAGGAAATCGCTGTACGATGAGTTTTTTGCGATCGCAAAACGATGGTCTAAATGGTTTTTTTCGTTTAATGATGATCGGTGCCCTGCTTCAGGAAACGATTTTCGCTTTAAGAAATCAGCAAATAGCTTATCGCTGGGTTTCAAAATGGCTGCCGGCTGAAGAAAATGGCCCCCCGCTGTTTTCTAGGACGGATTCCTCGCTTTAGAGGCACTGAAAATGGCCGCCGTATGGAGGATCTTCACTGGACGAGCAGGTCCACTGGAACGCATTTAACAGTTTTCAATGCGTTTCAATGGGTTTTTAAAATTTCGTTTGACCGTGTTTTCGCTCTACAGTGATTTCGCTGGAACGAATTAATATTGTCAAGCGAGGCACCACTGAAATTTTATTTGGCATACGCGTTTATGGATTGTTGTCCAACGTTGAGAAGTGTATTGCCTCAGTAAATTTTAGTGTGGCTGTGTCTATCTGAAGAATCAGATGACCGTCCTCAAATAATAATAACTGTGTGCCATCAAGTCAATTTTGACTTATGGCAATCCTTTCCAGGGCTTCCTAGGTAGAGAATACATATACTGATCAAATTCCTCACCTCTGACTCCACCACCAGATCACTAAACCACTGACATATCCAGCCAGGTAGTTCTCAAAGGCCTAGAGCAGTTAAAAAAGACAAGACTCTTTGCTGTTCATGAATCATGGCATTGTCATTGTGGGCCTGATAAAATTCCATGCAAGAGGCTGCACAGGTTGAAGTCCTCACCTGGAAAGCACCCAACATCTTTGCACCCATTTGCTGTTACTCCCTCAATTTCTCTTCTCCTTTTATTTTCTTGTACCGTCAGCTGTTTGATTATAAGCTCTTTGGAGGAGGGAATGATGAAGCCAGACCCACAGAAGCAGACACTAAGTGCTTTCTCTTCCCCCTCCAACTTCCCATTTTTTGAATGGAGTGATTTAATGCAGAGTGAAACAACGATAGATTGTGGATCTCACATCCTGAAATTCTGCCAGTTCTTCTGCTATTACAGTGTGTGTGTGTTTTTAACAACACCTCCACTCTTCCGTCTCTTTATTAGATGTTGAATATATAATGGGGTAAGGGTGTCAACGAAGCTTGCTGGGCTGTAATTAGCTGGGAAGGCTCTATCTCCCTATTTATAAAAGGGAGTGATTATGCTGGTAAAACCAACCAACACAGGTCACTTTGATTTTTTTAAAAGAAGAGTAAGAAGAACTACAGAAACCTGCTACATGTTAAAATTGTAATGTACAGTAATTTGGCTAGTACTGTAAATCAGTGGTCCCCAACCTTGGGCCTCCAGATGTTCTTGGACTACAACTCCCAGAAGCCTCTGCTGGCCAGGATATCTGGGAATTGAAGTCCAAGAACATCTGGAGGCCCAAGGTTGGGGACCACTGCTGTAAATGACACGATGCTGCTTTTTAAAATAGATTCTGCACCCTTTAGCAATTGTTTCTGATTGCAATTCATTTTATTGCATTTCTGTAACTCTGAATTATTTGTTGTAAGCCCCCAGGGGATTTATTTGAAAGGTGAGGCTGAAATTCCTGTAACTAATCAATAAATAAAAAGATAAATGCTGGCTGGGGCACACTAGTTAAGAAACCTTGCAACAGAGGTTGTATCCTCCCCTTATACTGCGGATACGTATGTAGCTACTTCCAGATCCAGCTGAATAAACAATAATTATCATTCTGTAACTGAGCAGACCAAGTTTATAAATATCATATGATACTTAATATATCCAATCAACTGCTACATTTTAATGTCATTTAACCTGTTTATGTTAAAAATCAACACTGTGACCTGAAGAGGAGGAACACATCTAATCTTAAAAACAAAAATTTGGGAAAGTAATATTACAATATTTGAAGTGTTAGATCTGTCGGTCGTCCTTAGATCTATCGGTCGTTCTTTAGATCTATCGGTCGTCTTATCCTGCAATGCAAAGCAATGATTTTAACACTAATGTATGAAACAGACCAGATTATGTCCAACTTCCAGGACAGGTTCAAGGTAGCTCTGAAGGCAGATCCCCACCAACCACGCTACTCTGAGTCAGCCCACTCCTGCCTGCCTCCTTTCTTTTAACATGCTTGTCTCCATGCCTCTTTCCTGCTCTCTCTCTGTGCACATGAGAGCGAGAGCAAGAAAAAAAATTGAGAGAGAGAGAGAGAGAGACTGTGTGTGAATATCCATTTTTGCTCTTGGGTGCTTTGGCTACAGTGCCTTCCAGCCCACCTACCACAGTGAGTAACAGCTGCCACTGACAACTCCACACCCTGGAATATTAAGTGACTCAGAGGAGGGAAACTGACAACTGAGAGGTTGTTGTGAAGCGGAGGAGAATAGGTGGAGCAGGAGACACGTAAACATCAAGGCTGCCAAGAAAACACTGTTTAGATAAGTCCCCTCCCTGTTCACACATTGAAAAGTGGTTTTCAAATGCCACCAGAGTCGGAACTGCCCTTGGAAATCAATGGAGAAACCCAGTACTATCATGTGGTTGAAATTAAGCAGCTGTGTGTGTGTTGAACCTCCCAAGAATTAAGATAAAATCCCCAATTGGAAAGGTGAGGGGAAGAAATATAATGAAGCTTGAGTAGGTTTTATACAGAATGCTGATTGGCCGCAGGACAGAAGAAAAAAAGGAGAGAAATATGGATGGAGAATGGAGGGGAATGGGGGTGACTGAAAATTCTTAATATTTAAATGTTTTAATATTTTGGAACGTTTGTTAATCAGTAAATGTATTCATTGAACCACTGGATATTTGTGGCTCCTAAATTTTAACAGTTCTTCACTATGTAACCATGCATTTTGAGCTGGCTGTTCATCAGGTATCTACAAACTCCCCATCCGTGACCCTCTCGAAATAACCACTTAGCACTAATTTCTAACCATTTCTATGTTCACTTAGCACTAATTTCTAACCATTTCTATGTTGGCGTACTTGCTATGTACGTAATAAATCCTAACTACTTCTCTGTTGCCGTGTTTGAAATTTTTGTCTGTTATAGTCATAGGAGGTAACACAGCCATTATATATTTCTTAAATATTTCATTATAAAACAGATGACTCTTTTATAAAACCCCACCCCTAGCTAACGGTGGTTTTCCTGTGCAGGAGGAGCATCCGTGGAAATAAGACCAATGTCTCCAACCTCTTGTTTCTTTTCTTTTTTTTTTCCTACAGAAGTGGGTGTCTGTAGCTTTGCCAGGTTTTCTGGCGACTTCCCCCAGGTGGGTTGCACCATTTTAAACCCATCTCCATGGAGACAGGAGGTGCACGATGAAGCTGTGGAGCAGGCCAGAAACCAGACACTGCTGTTCAACATGCTAGAGATGCTCCAGTGTTGCAAGGCAAGATATGCTATGTTTGCAAAGCCACAGCTGGGTGATGAGAGCATGTGCTCTGCCTACAGAAAGCCCGCAGGCTTTCTGTAGGCAGAGCCTTTTAGCCCCTGCATGTCCAGCTAAAAGGATCTCCATAAGGAGGGAATGGAAAAGACTCTTCTTTGTCAGACAATCAGAGAATATTGGGCTAGATGAATAAATTGTTTGATCTGACTGAAGGTTCCTTCCAAAGATGTAACTAACCTTCAGTATGAGAGCTGTGTTTCAAGGCGATCTGCTGGCAGCTCAAAGACAAAAGGCTTAATGTAATGAAACCTATCAGAAGCTAGAAGGAGAATGTGACAGGAGCTGAGGAGTTGGCTGTGGAAGCTGGTGATGCATCTCTTACTTCTAAGTTTGAACTTCGAAGCAGCTATCCAAGCTACTGACCCAATCCCTAAGAGAGGGCTCAGGACCTTGGACATTTCCTGTAAAGTTGGGACTCAAACACCAAATGGATTCGTTGCTTCCAAAACACCGGTGTCACCAGCTTCTCTTAGTAGGGAAAGACTGTTTTGAAAGGTGAGAAGGTGAGACGAGGAGGAAAAATATATAAGGATAAAGATTTGTCTCTCAGCCACCCTGAGAAGCTTGGTGCTGAATCTGCACCTACATAGTATATTTTCAGTATTTGCAAAAGTCATTGTCAAGAGGAAATAAAATTGTCATTTGTCTTAAGAGGCCTAGGAATTTGCTAACCAGAGCTCTGGAAATGATAGTTTATCACTGCATGCAATTACTGTCCAAGGATACAGCTGAACTGGGTTGTGTTCTGCTACAAGAGCAGTAACAGGGAAAGGTGGGCAAGAGAATCAGCACAAGTTCCATTTTTCTTATTCTGGCTTTTCCAAACAAAAGGTCACATGCCATGAGATCTGTCACCTGATTGGCTTGGGAAACTGTCGCTGGCTTCAGTGCATCATGCAAGGCGCCTTGAGTTTGGATGAAGTTCTGCTGCGGCCTCTGGAGCCTTGCCCAATATGTCTTCGGAAGCTGCAGTATGTTGTAGGCTTCAAACTCATTGAGCGCTACAGGGTAAGAGAATCAAAGAATGATACGCTACAGCCCCTCCGTTCTGCAGAGCAGGGTCACCAAGTCTCCGCCCCGTTCTGTACCAATCTGTTTATAATCCACACCAGAGGGTGGTGAAATGGAAGAGGCTCTTGCAGAGCAAATGCCACTGAGTGGCTCAAACAAGTGAGAAATGAACACTACTCATAGATGAGCCCTTGTAACTGCAACATAAACACAGGGTTGGCTACTGGGGTATAATTATTAAGACACCAGATAATGTTGTTGTTATTATTTTTAACTATAACTTTCTAGTTCATATGGTGGCTTGACAAAAGTACAGAAGCGATGTGTGTGCATTGTTTGGTGACTTTCTGGAGCTAGAATAGTGCTCAGTAAAACTCCTTCAAATTGACTTGAATATGTACATTTTGTTTGCATAATTTCTTCTGCTTCTGACAGTTCATGGGAAGAGAGAGTCTAGGTATGGCATGGAGAGTTATCTGCAATGGAAAACAGCAACAGGGAGAAGAAAAAATACCCAATGTATTTTAAATTTTTTTCATTTGGCACAGAAACTCTATGCTTGGATGGAAACCCTTTTGTCTACCTGGCTCAGCCAAGAACCGTCAGAGCTGTCTGTGTCGGAGGATGCTCTGCCACACAGCACAGACTCTGGAATGGGTTGTGAGAACGACTCGGAGGTGGTAACTTCCCTCTCAGAATCCTTGACCCCAGACACTTGCAGCCAAGCAGTTTCCACATTACAGGATCTTGACCTTGACGAACAATCCTGTTCTCTGGCTGATGAGCCCAGCCAAGAACAACTAGGTGGAGCGCCCAAGCCTTTGGACATTATTAAGGAATACACGCTTTGGCTCAAAATGTGTATTGCTGCCCTTGAAAGAGAGGTCTCTGAAGAGGAGATTCTGCAAGTGGACAGGGCTGTGGATGCCACGGCGAAGTGGGAAATGTTCACGGGGCAATTGCCCAGCACCCGAAGAGACCTTCCTCTTCCAACTGATAGTCCAGGGCTAAGAAAGGTCCTTGGAGGCAAGTTCTCCTCCTTGAGGAGAAAACTGAGCTCCAGAAAATTGGCAAGAGCAGAATCTTCCCCACGTCACTGGAAATGGGAAGAGAGCTAGCCCCATTGAGACACTTTGCCTGACTCCTGTGAAAAACAAAATAATTGGTGGTTTAAATGTAGAATTTTGTTAAGTCTTGTTTTCCTTGTTTCCTCTCATCCTTTTCACTGCAAGTTCTCATCTTTTTGTCAGAGAAAGAACTCCCCAAGTGCAATAAAATAAATTTCTTCTACTGAAGTTTGTTCTTGTCCTTCTTGAAGCAGATTCTTGAGCCACTTTGCAGAAAATCACCCACAGTAGCTTTATAGTTTTCCTGGGCAAAAGAATACCAAAGGCCGGTAAGATTTTTTTTTTTATGCTTTTGGAACCTGGGATGACTTCCATTGCAAGCAAACAGCCATTCCCTCCTTACTCTCAAATTCTGCCTTCTTGAAGGCAACTTTATTGTGCATACAGTGATCCAAGAATATGAGAAAGTTGGTGTTGGTTCCAGATTTGGATGAAGGACACCCTAATCAACTTTTCCTCACCAGCATGGGTCCTCTGACTAGCATTGATACTTACTGCCACTTCTCTTTCTGATCGCTGCTATTAACTGCTTGCTTGCCTACCACACAGAGAAGCAATAAGCAGGTAGAATTTAACGGGGACAGTGAATCTGCTCCAGGTTTTACTTGGAACTTTACAGGAGCTCTCTAAAGTGCTGAATCTGTTTTTGGATCAGGGTCCCACACCCTGGCTAGCTCCTTTATAGTTGAAGACTAAAACCCAGGGTGAATTCACTTGCTCAGTCAGTCACCAGTCTCCACCAGGAAGGACATTTATGATTATGTATTGCTCTTTCATACCTGCCACCAATGTCTAGGCCAAGGCGAGAAGCAGGTGAACATGCTATAGAAAAAAAAAAGAGCAGGAGATTGCTGTTGGGATGTGGAGGTCCGGCGGGGATCTGACTAGTTTGGCTCTTGCAGAAAGTGCATTTTTCTGCTCAGTTCAGTTCCAACATAGGCTGACAGGTTCTATAAGAATTACAGTTTCTATGGCTAGCTAATCAGCCTAGAGAGAGAAAGTTGTCCATCTAAACCAGACATTTCCAGCTTTGGTTGCAAAGCTGAACTTCTTTCACATGGATCTTGTCAGATCTTGGAAGGTGAGCAGGGTGGCTAATGTTTAGTAGGTGGAAGACCACCAAACATATCCAGATATGATTAGGAAAGGGTCCTGCTCCAGAACCTGCTGAAACATCACTAACAGTCAGAGTTGACAATACCAGATTGAATAATGCTGAAGCTTCCTGTATTTTTCCAGTGCTGAGATGGTCAAGAGTTTCCCTACCTCAGGGGAAAATGCCTTTAAACCAGTTCAGTTACAATCTGGTGTAAATCTGGGCAAAGTCTCAATGTTTCTCTCATTTCAACCATAAATGATCATGAGTCAGTGAAGAATATCTATCCAAAAAGGTAAAGAAGTAAAGCCCACTTCTGGGCTTCATGGACAAATAGAAGGACACTACATGAGCTGCCTTTGTATTTTTATATTACCACTTCTACCATATGGGATTTCCCAAAATGAGCTTTTGATTTGGATTCTTTATGCAAGTACAGGCAGGCATAATACTGGTTCTGGGGAAAGGACTGGAGGAAAGTGGGGGTGGGAGGAAGACCTATTCCCATCCTATCACTTACATCAGTTCTTCATCTTCTCTCCCTAGAAATAAATTTTATTTAATGAAGAATATGCCATATGATGACCCTCATTATTATGGGGTCAGGATATGGTGAAAAATGAACTCCCGTTTAAAATGTTTCCTATAACATGTTCTGGAAGAGGTTGAATTATATTAGACTACTTTGTCCAAGCTTGGCATTTCACTTCAAGGCTTGAGACTTAAAAGTTATTTAGTACTTTAGACAGGTGAACTCTCTATTCTTTTCCACTACTGCCCTATCAGCAACTCCTGAGGTTTGTTCTGTATCTCAGTACTAGAATTCCATCCCTTCCTGATAATGTCACCTTCTTGAAGGCTCTAACTATAAATAATTGCAGCTCCTTTACTGTGGTAGAAAGAACTGGAGAGGCTGCTGCCGTAAGCTTTTGCCATCTCTAGAAATTCTTGGAAGCCTTCGCAACAGAAGAGAAGTGGTGGTGAAAACTGTTAGAAAGTTTTAAATGTGTATGAAAAATGTGGGGAGTGGGTGGATAGGTTGGGTTTTCAGAAATAAAACAGCACCAGGTCAATTTTTCCTCTCTTCTTGCTGTGTATGAATGCAACGTTTAAAGTTGGGAAGTTCAGAAAACCTGTGCTGTGGTCCTGTAGTACTTGCAGGTGATTTTTCTGAGAAGGTAAATGATCAGCTCATGCAAGGATGACATGCTGATGTCCTGTTGAATGGAGGATGTGTTGAATGGACTATCCATTTGTAGACTTGAGAGGAAAACAAGTGGTGGTGATCTGGTTCACACCATAAAAGATATACTGCTCTTATTTGTCATATTCTCAGACAAACCCGTGAAGGGCTTCCAAGGACGCAGAGTTTTTGTTTTGTTTTTTGAAGAAGAGAGCCTTCTAAAGCCACTGGTATAACATGCAAACTCAGACATTTTGCAGCAGTTGACAAAATAAAGGCTTAGGCCATGAAGACATGTAAGTCTGTTAAAAATAAAGGTAAGTGTTGCAGTTCTACACATAGTTATGCAGGAATAGGTCCCACTGAACTCAAGTGGTATTACTTCTTTTTAAAAAACATTTTATTCGTTTTTCATTATATCTATATTCAATTCGTGCTTGTTAAACATTGTGTTACATGAGTTTGCTTATAGTTATCGGTGATTTAATCCCTTCTCTGATCTTCTAGCCATTTGTAGAACAAAAGTAGCATTACTTCTGAATATATATCCGATTGCATTAAACACAAAGGGGGGAAAAAGGAATATCTCGGGTGTCCACATAAGAAAATGAATGCTGTTAATTGCTAGGTGGAAACATTTCCCTACACCCACTTTGTGATGAGAAAACTATGCAATTCAAGCATAACAACCTTGTTGCTGCCCCCTGCTGGCTCCTTAAACATTGCTGCTGTTTTCATGCTTATGTGGAAAACAAAGACATAAACAGACACATCCCTGCTTGGTGCATCAAATAAAACTATGAATCGATGTAACATTTAGAAAACAGCAGGAGTGTTGGAAGATAGGGCAAGAAGGAAACGAAGGGGAATTTTTTAGCAGCAAACATTTATACCAGATAATTTCATTTTAATCGGCAAGTGATAAAGGAGAAGAAAGAGCAAAGATCCGCTGAGATCTCCTTTACTAGCCAACAAGTGTTTGCAGCACCCTGCTGTCGCTATGGCAACTGCTTTTAACAGGCAAGAGGGTCTCTCTAGCATCTCTTGAAGAAACAGCTAGAATATCTGTGTTTATTTATTTAATTAATGTATTGTTCACATCATGTTTTCCCAGGGCTGAATTTGGCACAGGGCTAAGCAACAGCATTCATTTTCAGTTTATGGGTTCCTTACAAAAACAGAAGGAAGTGGATTTTGTAGGTACTTGGAACTGTGCGTTAAAAGAGTTGAAGTCTCTTTATTTAAAAGATTAGCATTGCCAAGGGAAGCAAAACCCAGAAAAGGGACAGACGCATATGGTGGGTTAAACTGGTGATCTGTACCACTTCGGTGAGTAGATGAAGTAGGAAAGAATCCAATGTTTTCCTGCGTTACTGTTATTGCTATTCTTAATTTGAACAATAACCCGTGTCCTGTGCAACCAGATACACAGTTTTTCCACTGATTCAAAATCCAGAGGCAGCGTGTGTCACACATCCACAAAAGGCTTAAAGAAACTCCACCTTGTAGGTAAAGAAAAAAGCATGGTATACGAGGGACATGAGGAGTGGCAAGATCAGATGCCATCTGTCTAATATCAAGACATTTCTTTACGAGTTAGTACTCCAAAAGTGTGAGTGTTCATGTGAAGCAGAAGAATGCACAACTTCCTGACATG